TTGTTGAAGCTACAGCAAACATGTCTCTAATATGACTAGCCCAACAATTCGTACATATAGCACGTGATTGTAAGCAACTACAAGCAGTAGTTGTACGCTTATGACAAACTATACAGTGACGTTGAACATGCTTCCCTTTAAGTCATAAGGTTGCAGGATCATTCCGGAGACTGTTAAGATTGTGTTCATTATTACTATAATCTTGTTTTCTTTTTTTTTTAGCTCGATCACTTATCGTTTCATTTAAATAATACTCAAGAATTGACATTGCTAATTGTTTACGAAAGTCCACATGTCTCATATTTTCTTTTCCTGGAACAAATTAACAATACGCAGAGAAACTATTGGCTTCTGCAATTGAAAAATAAAAGGCAAGGATCTGATTTTTTGAACATTTTGTTATTAGCACATCATGATAAGAGAGTGTATTATCACTAGTGATTTGAACCGAGAAAATTTTCCTTAATCGGTTAACCGAACTGAATAATTTTCATGCAACCGGTTGCCAACCAGTTAAGATTAATACTCTACTACCTTCGGAAATTCTTGGAGCTTTACTCTAATTTTTGTTTGTTCATTTATTTTTTTCATTACTCTATTATATTTTCAAATCCCGCCAGCTGGTTGTACTGGGTTAACCGATTAAGAACTTCCTCAACCGGTTACCTGAAATTTATTCGGTTCGGGTTGGTTAACCAATTATAGCCTAACCGATTCAAGTCACTAATTATCACGCAGATTATTAAGTATATCAACGGCAGACCTGTATTCATTAAAGTCATCAAAAACAACAGGCTGCAAAAAAGTCTCAACCCCATGATTTTTAATGTATCTCTTTATTTCAGTTTTTAAATTAGTTGTTGAACAACTAGCTAAAACTACACGATCCTTGCGGTCACGAATAGAATACAAAATAAGATTAATGCCATCTAACTTTCCAATCTGGTTACAAAATGATCCATACTTATTTTCAAGCATATCAGTAATGTCAGAAGGAATATTTTTGGGCCAATAATGGTATTTTTTATTTGTAATATAGAATATAGCCCATGCTTATACAAAGTAATACATGCATCCACACTTCCAAACCATGAATCTGCAATGATTGTTCTACCACTATTAAACTACAGCTCAACTAATCGCAACATAGTTGCAACTGTTGGCATATAATTATTTGAAAATTTTTTTTTTACAGAAAATTCAGGGGCTCCACAGGATCCAAACGCAAAAGTAAGTTGGCTCGGGCATCAGCGATTGTTTTAAATTCACAACCTATCAGATGGGTTTTCTTGGTATCTTTCATTGAAAAGAGCCTTTATCCACTTTACCCATCCACTGACACATGGATTCGTCAATACAAAGATAGTCACCAGACGTAATTGCCTTAGAAAGATTTTCGTTGAATACATTGTGGTACTCCTGGGCAAAAAAAAAGAATCCTCATTTTTTTTGGTATCAGCTAATGTTAGATATTTAATAATATCTCGGAATCGCTTATGTGACATATACTTTCCAAAAAGCAATACAACGCTACTGGTTTCTTGTTTTACAGACCAATAGTCACAGACATCAGAACAACGAACATATGTCATTATTGTTAAAATATCAACAAAGCGCATGAACTCCATCCAAGTTAAATCATTCCAGGATCATTCACTTTCATGTGCATATTTATTGGTAGTTGGTATCACAGTTAACATAATATAATCAACTGGTAGAAAGCATTCAAAGAATTGTCTAAGTGATGCTGATACAATATTAGAAATATATACCACAGGACATCTGGAATAGGAATAGTTCACTTGATGGGAATCAACAGTAACGATATCATTTACCCACATAATTTTACTTTCATTACGAACATCCATCTCCTCATTTTCTTCATCTTCACTTGAAATATCAGTTTCAGATTCTTCTTGTTCATCTGTTATATCATTCTCTTCATTTGAATTATTATTAGTGGCAGCCACAAACTTTATATGACCAGCATTACGAAATTAATTTATAATTTAGGCCATGTCAATAACTATTAATAATCCGAGTTTTTGCAATTTTTGCATCACCACATAGCTAATTATTTCACGTGAGTAAAAGCGATTTTAAACCAATAAAAAGCTTTTTTATTTATAGATACTATATTGTTAAAATACCATCTGACCAATCAAATTCGAACATAATAGCAATTCTACCGGCCAGTGTAATGCCCAAAATTAGGAGAGCAAGGTTTGTGTACAACAAATTAGCTTTGAGCGTAGCATAATTTATACGAAATGGATGTTTAGTAGGGTTCAGATTTAATGATGGTTTGTAATTAAAGAAAGTAGAATCATTAGGTTATACGACTGTTCTGTTAATTCTCTTCTGGTTATCCTTCCACTTTATTAATAAAGAATTACTTTTATACATTTACCCTGCTCTTGTTCTACGTACACCCGATTTAGTAATAATACATCATTATCTAAAAATGTAGTAATAATAATCTATTAACGTATTATTACAACAAATGTAATCATGGAATATTCCCATCGTATGGTCATTAAAATGATGCAACTATTAGGTATTAACAAAATTTCCCGTCAGTAAGCCTGATTCTGACCTCTAGCCCAGATAACACCCTCTATTGAGTTGATGGCAGAGCCTAGCCTAACCAAGATGCTGGCAAGAGATTTCTTCAAATATAATCAATTCGCTGCATACGATGATGATAATGTACTTTCAAGTAACTGTTTTGATGATGTGTGGAACCATGAAAATTTAATACGTACTGTAAACTATTTTGCGAAAAAAGGTATTTCTCTAAAGACTGAGGCCAAACATGATACTTTTAACAATATCGAGATCCTTTTTAATAAATAAATACGACCTTGAGGAAGTTAGTTATTCACTAAATTTGACAATATAAAAAAATTAAAAACACTTATTAGAATGACTAGTTTGGCTAGCATTAAATACTGCATATTATCCTCAAATGAATAGGATTATAGAAGAATACTATATAAAATACTACTCAGTCGTATTGGGAACGTACTGAATCGTGTACCATTAAAATTATATTGCTGAGGTAATGAACTTCAATACCATAGTAGATCAAAAGACCCAATTTACATAGACTCTTCCCTTTAAAAAAAGTTTATAAATAATTGTAGAGTTTTTATTATTCCAAAATTATAATAATTTGCTAAAGTGTCTGTCATTACAATTACCTTCAGCTATGACCCGGTATATTCCCACAATTTCTATTTTGGTCATAGTGAATGTTGGTGGAACACCAACATCGAAAAGATATTCCACGCAGCATTCGATCTCAAAGACCCAGATTGGTTAATGCCTCTGGATGATAAAGACATGGAATACATGCTACCAAGGATTCGTTGTACTTGGATCTAGACAATCATATTTTATGTAGAGTTTCTTATAGAGCAATAGGTTTATATTAATGGATAGGATTTAGGTATACTACTGGTAGTATTTTGTACTCAAATGTGACAGCAAATAAAGGCATTTTTCTGCTGATCAATAAAATCATTCAAGCTTATATTACAATAATATATTTTTTGAAAGTTGCGCAACATGTAAAAAAAGTTTGACGTA